CCCCAAAACCCCAAAACCCCAAAACCCCAAAACCCCAAATCACCAATAATGGGTTGATTAATAGCTTGAGTAAATTATGGGTCGTCCCTGCCCTTATTCTCTTCTATCTATGGCTTGCCATAAGTCATGGATTCTTCTTCAACAATCCACTTATTCCTATCATCGTCATTGTTGCTAAACAGTCAATCTGGATGCATACCTGTTGGAGAAGTGATTTTCCTTCATGATCTCAAGAAGTCTTCCTTTTTGAAGAGAGATTTCCTCGTTTTCTTTGTATGAGATTTCCTTATCCTGGACTAGCTTCTCATAATTCTCTCTTTTCCTTTCTTGAGCTATCAGATTTTGCTCATTTAGCTATGAAATCTAAGAGGCAGGCTTACCTTTCTAGTCAGAGTTTTGATTTTCTCGTCTTTTTCTTTTATTAATGCTGAGAAATAATTCAAAGACTCGCTTTCATCATAACATGATATCTCTTTCTTTCTTTGTTCAACTAGTTTAGACTGAAGGGATTCGTTCAAAGCACTCTTTTGCTCAATTTCGTAGTTTAAAACAGAGATTTGGGCTTCTAAATCGATGATTCTGTTGACTCCTGATTTCTGCTTCTCTTGGACAACTAGGTCTTCAAGTTCTTCAATTCTTCTGAACATTCTTTTGATCTTTTCCTCTTCTTCGCTGCCATAAACCTGTTCATCACTGTACGGAAGGCCTACTAGCTGATGGGCATGCTTTAAATTGTCATTTTCAAGCATGAGGTCATTAATTTTCAAATTGAGCACATCTATATCTTCAAGAAGAGCTCTCCTCTCCTCTTTAAGAAGCTCGATCTGGGTTGCGAGGAACTCAGCTGCTTTTCTCTTCTCATGGTCATCATAAGAATCAGCGATTCTGTCGTTAGCTTCAGCTAACCTTCTATCGTTCTCAGCCATGACGCTTTGGTAGGTCTCTCTTTGCCTGTTAAGTTGGACTTTAAGGCCGTTGTTTTCATTTAAGAGGTCATTCCATCTTTTAGTGCACTCATTTTCACGTTTTTCATACTCAGAAATGATCTTCTTGGTATAAAGTAGATCATTGGTCTGTCTCTCAAAGAAAGTCTTTAAATAAGCTCCAGAGTCATCTTTATTCAGTAACAGATTTACTCTTTTCTTAAGATCTTGGAACTGATTTTCTTTGTGTGAGAGATCCATACGTAGCTGGTTGATCTGATTCTTGTACACAATAACTCTTTTAGCCCAGTCTTGGCCAATAAGTTCTTCAAAGGCGATCTTCTGTTGGTTGTGTTCGTTCTCAAGTTTGTCATATTTTCTCTGAATCTCGCTTGCATAGAGCTCTATGGCTTTAATCTTAGCTTTGTAGTTATCATTATTCTCATTCTTTTGTTCAAGCTCCTTTTCTAGTCTGGCATTTTTGTCCCTAAGCTGGAACAATTGCTCTTCAATTTCAAGGACTTCTTTAGGAATAGGAGGCTTATTCCTTTGTCTGTTTTTCGAGAAATGATCAACTTTGGCATAAGTAGAGGCGTCCTTTTCCTCTTCTCTTCCAAGCTGAATCCTGGAATCTCTGCTGCGGGACCTACAGGATGATATAAGTGTCATACCTATCTCTATTTTGGGCTGGGTTGATCCCTGCGGACCTATCAGCAGCTACAAGGTGATGTATTTCTTACCTGGTTCATCTTCAAGCATGCTCATTTAAATATATTTATGAATTCAAATAATTTTAAATTAAGGGGTTTTGGGGTTTTGGGGTTTTGGGGTTTTGGGG